TGGCTCTTTCAGACACTGTTGCCCTGGCTGGGAGCTCTGTGCTTGCATGATGTTGTGTTGTTGTTGTTGTTGTTATGTGCCATCAAGTCCCAACTGACAGCTGACCCTGCAGCAGGTTTTCAAGGGCTTGTAAATTGTAGGGGAAGAGACTGCTCGTCTTTCTCTCCACAGAGTAGCTGGTGGATTCAAACCGCCTGCCTTGGGGTTGGCAGCACGAGTCTTTACGGACTCAAATCATGTTAAACTCCATGCCCAGTTAGTTAATTGGCTCAGAGAATGGCGGCGTCACACCACTCAGTTCTCTGAGCCTCAGTCTTTCTCGAGATCTGTTGTTGTTGTTGTTCTTTCTGTCATCCAGTCGGAACCAACCCATAGCGGAGCCTCCAGCGGGTTTTCAGAGGCAGTAAATTGCACGGGAGGACACTGCCCATCCTTCTCCCATGGAGCCCCTGCTGGACTGGAACTGCATGAGAATTCATGCCCAGCGCCAGCCTGGCATTGGGCACACCGTGTGGGCTGTTAACAAAGACGTGGCGGGTGGCTCGGGCAGCCCTGCTCTCCACACGTCCACAAGTCTTCCTGCAGCCTCGCCTTCTCCCTGCCACTTCCTGTTTTGTGGTGGCTCCTCCGGAGGTGAAAAAAAAAAATCTGGTAGTGTAATCTGTAAATTGTGCTGTTCACTTGAAAGCTGCCCCTCTCTTCCAGTTCAAATCGAACAGCAGCTCCACTAGAGAAAGAGGGGAAATCTTCTCTCGCGCAATTTACAGCCCCGGAAAAAACTCACCGGAGGGGCAGCTCTGCATCAGACCCACTGCGACCTCAAGGAGTTTTAAGTTTTTAAGAAATTCACTCCCACCAAGCCCTCATTGGCAGAGAGTCAGGGGGTCTTGATATCGACACAGAGAGGTTGGATTGTGAGGCGAAGAATGTAACTTCAAGGTTGGAGGATTGTTGTTGTTGTTATGTGCCATCGAGTCGTTTGCGACTCATAGCGACCCTATGTACAACAGCCCTAAACCCTGCTCTATCCTGTGCCAATCGCACTGCCTCTGACACACCCATCCCGATTACCCCAGTCACTGAATCAATCCACCTCATAGAGGGTCTTCCCCTCCTGTGCTGTCCCTCTACTCTACCCAGCATGATGTCCCTCTCTCAAGACCTGTCTCTCCTTACAACATGTCCAAAGTATGTCACACGAAGCCCCAGAATCCTTGCCTCCAAGGAGCAGCCTGGTTTAGTTCTCTCTACGATGAATCTGTTTGTTTTCTTGGCAGTCCACAGTACATTCAATACTCTTCTCCAGCACCACAGCTCAAAGGCGTCAATTCTTCTTCTATCCTCCCTAGTCATTGTCCAACTCTCTGATGCATAACAAGTGATTGCAAAAACCATGGCCTGTATTAGGCGGACCTTAGTCTCCAGAGAAACACTGTTGCTCTTGAGTATTTTGGAGAGGTTCCTAACCACAGACTTTCCCATCGCAATACGTTTTTTTATTTCCTGACTGCTGGTGCCAAGTGTAATAGGGTTTTCAGAGGCCCGCCATTTCAGAAGTGGATGGCCAATCCTTCTTCCTGCTTTTTAAAACTTCTTCAAGACTGATACATAATTGACAAGGGAAGAGGATTATGAAGCACTTACTGATGACTTCAGTGGGGGTTGCACCTTAGTAACAAAACAAAGAAAACAAAACCCTTCACAAGTGGACCAGTCAACTGCCTCATGATCAACGGGCAGAAGATTGAAGGACGCATTTTCCTTGAATTCACAATCAACACTTACTAAAGCAGCAATCAAGAAATCAAATGACATTTTGCCTTGGACAAATCTACTGGGGGGGAGTGAAGGGGGAATAAATCTCTCTAAATGGTGAGAGAGCAAGGATGTCACTTTGACAGCTAAGATGAGCCTGACCCAAGCCCTGGTGTTTTTGATTGGCACGTACGCATGTGAAAACTGGAAAATGAATAAGGAGAACTGAAGAGTTATGACTCCTAGCAACCCTGTGAATAACAGATCTGGCCCTTATCCTGCCACGTGCCATCCTCATCATCTGACACATGTCAATCCGTCCCGTTGGTGGTAGAATATTGACTGGATCACGGACTGCCAGAAGAATAAGCAAATCTGTCTCTGAAGAAGTACCGTCAGAATGCTCCTTAGAGGGGAGCTCTGGTGGCCTAGTGGCAAGAAGCTGCACTGCAATCCCAGAGGTGCACGGTTCGAATCCACCAGATGCTCTGCCGAGGAAGGAGGGACAATTTCCTCCTGTACCAGTCAGATCTGATTTGACGGTACACGCACACACAAATAATAAAATAAAAAGAAAAATTTAAAAAAAAAAAAAGAATGCTCCTTAGAAGCAAGCATGGTGAGACTGGCCATGTAGCCAGGAAGGGCCAGCCCTGGACAAGGGCATCGTGGTTGGAGAAGTAGAGGGTCAGTGAAGAAAAGGAAGACTCTCAATGCGGTGGATCGACACGGCGACCGCAGCAAACGTGACAAGGAGTGACAGGATTGGACAGGAGCAGGAAAAGTTTCGTTCCTCTGAACAGCAGCCAGGACACATCCGGAGGGAAGCGCTTATGCTGCTGGGGAGAGATTGGAGGCATCTGGTCTGGTCAGCCCTGGGGTGACCTTGAGCTCAGTCAGCTGCCTTGACATTCACTTCACCTCATAGTCTGGCCTCAGACCAGCACTCTTCCACTTGCTGTTGTTGTTCTGTGCTGCCAAGTTGGAACTGAGGTTTTCAGAGTCCTAAATCTCGCGGGAGGAAATCTGCCCCTCTTTCTCCTGTAGATTCAAACCCAGTGCCTTTGAGGTGACAGTGTAACTGCTTTACCTCCAGGGATTGTGTTCCAGGTTGAGAAGGGAAAGGAGTCAGGGAGGGAGACTCCTACGTGCAGGCCCAACCCTTCACCCTGTCCACTGATCTGTAGGCTCCAGTAAAGAAAACCAGGGAGGTCACCCACACTTCCAGAAGAGCCACGTAGGGCGTCAGGTGAGCCCTGGAGAGAGGAAGCATGCGACGCCTGTGCGTGAGGCTCTGGGTCCCACACCTTCCGCCTAGCCCCTCTGTGCTCCTCGCACCCAGTTCCACATAGTCAACAAGCCCCACACTGGGTTTTCTGGGCTTCCCCAAGCCCCCTGCAGTCCCCTTACCTTCTCTGTCCCCATCGAAGGGACTTCACCTAGCCAGATTCCTTCCTTTGCTAAAGGGTTAAGATCATACCCCTAGAGAAAAGCAGGGTTTGATCCTCCCAGAATGGCCCCTGCAGGGTCCTGCCCCCCCTCCCCAATTCCACACAGTGGCTGTGGCCAGGGACGCGTGTCCAGTCACGTCTCTTACTCCTTGCTTGTCAGCTGTGGCCCCAGGGTGTGAGGGCATTGGAAGGGAGCCTGGTTTCCTGGGGGCCAGATGGGATCCCTTAGGCCTTTCAGGAAGTCATTTCCAGCCCAAGCTTTGTGACAGATGCTCTCATCAACCTGTCTGGGGTGGGAGTGGCTACAGTCTTGTCTGTTTCACAGATGAGGACGCACACATACACACACACACAACAACACATACACACATACCTAGCCACATGCTCACATGCAGCCCACACAGGCCAGCTTCCTCCCCTTCTTCTCATTCCTGAGCCCCGACTTCCCACAACCCCAAAGACTCACGGGAGCCCCATTCTGCCCTTGTCTGTTTGCCATGCCCGCACAGAGCCCCTGGCCTGCTGGCCGTGTGACTTCCTTTCCTGGTCAGCACACCTACGACCTTGTCGCCTACCCAGAGAGCTCTGGTGGTCTAGTCCCTAGGACTTGTGCTGTTAACCCAAAGATGGTGAGTGCCTCTCCAGGAGTTCGAATCTACCAGCAGCACCATGAGACTAAAATGAGCAATCTCCTCTCAAGTGGTTTTACTTCTGAAAACCCAGCTGGAGACTCAGCTATGAGTCGCTTCGGACTTGAAGGAACGGGTTTGACTTTTTTAGTTTTGTCTCCAGTGAACCCTGCTTCCCCCACCCCACCCATGTCCCCTGCCCACATAATCAGAGAGACACAAGAGTTTTGTTTTCAAATATATAGATGTTTTAAATATATGTTGACACAATATTAACATTAAATACACATCATAAATAGGCTTTATAAATATAAAACTGGTACAAACGGATAAATTAATAATGTCCTTGGGGACAGCTGTGGTTTCCACACGAGAAAATTCTGTAACATGCCAGCAGAGGGAGCACCTAGCAGGTGGGACTGAGGACTGTGTGCACTTGGACCCAGGGAGAAATGCTTTTGCAAGGAGAACTCAGGTGGCTGGGCCATTTGCACCGCATATTATGATTTACAGACAGTCTGATATTCAGCCTATGCCACAGAATTCCAGCAGCAAACGTAGAAAACTCCAATCCCCTTAGGTCACAAAGAGAAAATTGGTGTTCAAAGAGGCAAAGTTGGTTGAGGTTGGACTTTCAGATGGGTGCTGCTTCTAAAATACCCCCCTATATCTGTCTAAAAAAAAGGTTCCCCCAGACAGCCAGATGTCTGACCCGAGATGAAACAGAGGAGACAGCTCAGGTCCTGACCCCCCTCAGAACCAGGACACCAGGAAAAGGAGGAAGTCTGGGGGCAATGGCCCTGCAAGTCATGGGGAGGGCTGGAGGCAGTGGGGGCCCAGCAATGAGTCAGGCTGTGTCATCTGCCCCCTGAATCAATGGAAAGTCGGCCCTCCGTGGCCTCACCCAGTCATATCACCTGCCCCTGCTGGGAGCTTGTGCCTGGGAGTCCCACAGCCTGACTCTCCCTCAAAACCCAGCCTACCTGGCTACTGTTCCTTACAGTGGAATGGCGGAGGGTCAAAGGCTGTGGATTCAGAGACCCCAGGAGACCCACCCTGAAGCTCCTCCCCCACACAGAATATCCTCCACTTTTGAGAGCCACTCCAAAAACTAAAGTAACAAGACTCTCTGTAACCAAATCCTTTTCACAAGTTTATGAGGCACAGGCTTCTTGACCTTCATAGGGGGCCTAGGGGGCCTGCGGAACTGGCCCCTTGCGATCAGCCTGCGGCTGGGGCTGCGGCTGCGGCTGGGGCTGGGGCTGGGGCTGGGGCTGGGGCTGGGGCTGGAGCTGGGCTTGGGCCTGGGCTTGGGGCTGGGCCTGGGCCTGGGCCTGGGCTTGGAGCTGGGGCTGGGCTTGAGGCTGGTGTTCTGTCTTTGGTCCCTTGACCACTTGCTCCCATCCAGAACCTGTACCACCGAGCCCATTAAGCGGTGAAAACCTTGGAATACCCTGCAGGCATCCATCCGAAGCTGGAAGAAGTTGGAGGAGATGTGTGCGGGTGTGGGTGAGGGCTTCTGCCTGCGTGCTGTGCTCTTTGAACGGGTGATGTGCTGGCTCATGCAGAAGATGTTGTTCTTGATGCCTTTGATGTAGAGCATCGTGGAGTTCAGCGTCAATGAGCCCTTGGCCTGGGGATGATGAAACCCCTTTAAGCTGTCGCTACCCAGTGTTCGCAGGACCAGGTCCAGGCTGGTGTTGAGAGTCTCCAGGAACATCTTTCTGTTGAGTTTGTCCAGGGCATCCTGGCTGGGGAAGACCCGCGGAATCTCCGTGCAGTGTCCTTGAGGGTTCTTGATGTTCAGGCCAGGACTGTGGACCTGGGGAGGAGAAGCAGAGGCTGGGTGCTCGAGAGGCCGCCCCACACACGCACGCAGACCTGCACGGAATGAGGACCGACTCGACGGCCTTCGGCACGTTTCCAGAGGCTGTAAACCTCACAGGGGAGGCCGCCCATCCTGCTCCTCTCAAGCAGCTGGTGAATTTAAACCACAGAGTGACCACGTTTGCATTAGCACATTGACCCCCCCCCATGGGCTAGGCTACCAGAGCCCCCTAAAAACTCAGGAATTGAGGTCTAATTGGGAAATGACTGATCCTCCAGGGTCACATACTCCAGGTTGGGGGTGCTGCTGGAGGATCAGGGAGTAGCCACATGAAAGTGACTGCGGCCTGGGGGGGCGCTCAGGGAGGTGGCTGTGAGGGTCATGAGAATGTCTGTCTGTTTTCAAGGTGAGCCTGCCCTTGTGACCCATACCCCAGTCAGCCAAATGGGACGAGAGAAATAGCACACTCAGCCCCCGCATTTGCCCTGTTTTGAGGGTATTGGATCAGTGAGGGTGAGCCCCCATTCCCTCCTCCCCACAGAAAGACCCTTGGACCTCAGAGGTTCCAGGGGGCAGGTGCAACTCACAACAATGTCCAGGAGCCTGCTGGTATTTCGCATGAGTCTTGCTTGGTTCTTCAGCTGACCAAGAAGGCTGTAGTAATCACTATTGCAAGCACCAATCACCGACGTGTTCAGCGAAAGCAGTCCGAAGACCAGACCTGGGGAAGAGAAAGAAGTGTCACCTGCCTTGGCAAAGGAGTCCCAAGGGGCAGCCTTCAGAGAGCAAGGGGCTCAGAGGACTTACCCTTCAGTACTAGGCTTATAATGTGGCACCACATGGCATATACCTGGGAGTGCTCCTGCCTCTGGCACTGTGACCCTATGTCCCCGACTTAATAAAGAAAGGACAATGTGGCTGTGACTTGTAATGTAGTCTTTCAAGGGGAGGGGTGTCGCTCCAGCACCTATATCTTGCACCCATGGGCTGGGAGGAGTTGGGACAGGCATGGCTGCTGCCCCAGGACCCTGTCTCATAGTCTCCCCCCCAGGCCTTAGTGAACAGATCAAGTTCTGACTCACCAGCCCATGGAGAATGCTGGAAGCCCCTCTCAGAATATTCCAGAAGACAGCAGAGTTATGGCTCAGCTGCCCCCCACCCTCTGGCAGGCACATGATCTGAAGGGGCCTGTGGCGCAAGAGCCCGGAAGGCGATGACTCCATCGCCCCTTCCTGAGATCCATGCAGCCTTGTATACAGGCTGGCTCCTGGGACATCAGGGACCAGACAGCACCCCCCAACTTGGCTGCCACAAAGGACCCTGGCCACTGCCCCCCTGGTGTGGGTGAGATGGTGCATGTGGGGGTCTCACAGGACCACGGGGCCGTGTGAAGGGCCCCCTGGTGGCTGTATCCATAGCTGCAGGATGCTGTGTTGTGGGGCCCAGTCTACATGTGAGGTTCCCGGGGCTGGTGAGATTGAGGTTATGGGTGACGTCATGTGTCTCTAATGTGTCGCCATGTGGGCGTGGCTATCTGCGCTGTGTGATTGTGGGCAAGACTGGCTATCTCTCTCTTCCTAGACCCCCAAATTGGGGAAGAAGGTTCAGGTCATCCACTCAAAAGAGGCCCCACACCCCTCAAGAATTGCATCCTTTTCCTGCCCAGCTTCTGCAGCTTCCTCCTCTGCCTAGCACACCTCTGGTCTCCTTTTCCCCCACCCAGTGCTCCACCGACCTCCTCTTGCTCCAACATCAGAGTTGTCTCTACATCACCTTCTCCAGGAAGTCTTCCTGATTGCCCACTCCACCACCCTATAGGCACCTGACCCTCAGAGGGCCCCGCTTGGACTGGACCTCCTCGCTCTCTTCTTCTTAGCATCCTTTGGCCAGGATCCCCTGCCCCCACGTCCTGGAAGGCAGAGGGTACCTGCCTGCTCCCTGCCAGCACCAGTGGGCACAGAGGCAGGCGCTGGAGGAAAGGGAGAAAGCACTCACCGAGCAGCGTCCTCCACGTGAGCTGTACCCGCATGCTGGGTTGCCTGGGTTCTGGCCGGTGGCTGCTGGGGGTGACAGCTCCTGCCTGGGAGCCCCAAGGGCCAGCCACCACTTTATGCCCGCCGGGGCGATTGGCCAACACCTCGTGAGGTGGGTGGGGAGGGGGAGGGGGGAAGGCAGGCCTTCTGGGAACATGACCCCCAAAACCAAAGTCTCCACCGGCGGCCAATGGGCGCTGGGCGCGGTCCACGGCTGCTCCTCCTCCTCTTTTCTTCGAATTTGTTCTTCGAGGTCAGCCCCACGCCCAGGGATGATGCAAACCGCAGCCTCAGTCTTCCTGGGTGAGCAGGGAACTCGGGGGCTTGCAACACCTGTAGGAGGCCGTGTCCAGGAGAGGGGGCAGCCTGTGAGGTGGGCCCCTGGAGGGCCCAGCCAGCTTGGACCAGGGGCCATAACCTCCAGGACGCTCCTGTGGCCTGAAGTTGAGGGGAACGCCACATCTTCCTTCTTCAGTGCCCTCTCGCCCTCCTGCCGGGGCTGTTGGGACATCTCTGAGCGGAAACCAGTGAGCTCTGGGCATGGAGCCAGATTCCGGCTGGCAGCCCTGAGATTGTGGTCTGGCCCCCCGACTCAGTCATCTCTTTTCTCTCTCAATGTGCTCCCCCCACCCAGTACGCCTTCCCCACCCCTTCCTGACAGACTGGCCGTCTGGACAGAACCAGGCACATACAAGGAAGGGAGACGTGCTGTGTGACCTGGGGCAGGTTGCTTAACCTCTCTGGGCCTCAGAAGCCCCACCTGTCATATGGAGAAGACAGAGAGTTTCCTGGCTCACCTCCGCAGACTCATCATGGACATAAAAGGCAAAAGACATTTGAAGTGAAAAACAGAGATGGACATCTAATTCCAAGTAGTGGCCGGCTGTCAGGGGCGAGCCTGGAGGCGGTGGAGACAGGGAAGCTGTGAGCTCAGAGGGGAAGCCAAGCTGCTGTGGCGACAGTTGGGGACCAGGTTTCACTTTCTCTGAAAGATAGTGATCAATCGTGGGGCGGCCCTTGCTCCTTGAAGACCTTGGATTGTCAGTCAGCATGAACCACGCCCAAGAAGGTGCCTCCCCCACCAACCGGTTACTTCACCAAGGGATAAACTGAGGCCCAGGCAAGGGCAGGCAGAGGGACTGACTATCTGAAGCGCTCAGAAGGAGTTCCTTGTCCTGTGCCTTCAAGAGCTCGGCTTGGGAAGATCTGAGGAGTCAAGGTGGATTCTCCGGGATCTGCCGGGGTTGTCTGCCAGCTCCAGCCAGCAGATCCTAGAAAATGAAACTAGCCAGAAAAGATGAGGGCTGGATGAGCTTTGGCCCAGCCCAGCCACTGGCACCTTTCATGCACAACAAACTCCCGTGGGGCCCACTCAGTGCCAGCAACCCACACACCCAGCCAGGCTGCCCTCACCCCTCCCACCACTCCCTGTCACCTCAACCTGATGTTCCTGCTTGAGGCCCTTTCTATCCCCACAACCAGCCCCAGGGACCAGGGTTGGTGTCTCATCCTGAGAATGTCACTTCCCTTAAACTGCTCGTGCGGGAGCCCCCCCACCCCCCTGCCTCCACAGTCTCCTCGCCTGGGGCTGTGGCAAGCCTGAATCCTCCCCCACTTCTCATGTCTGGCCTCCTCTAAGCACAGAGGGGACTGAGCGGGGCAGGGCTGCCTGGCTGGTCTCAGAGGGGCACAGAAGTGAGCCTGACTTGGGGGGCTTCTTAGCACAGAGCCGACTCTAAGTGAGGTGACCGGGAGAACATGCTGAGGTTCTGGAAAGCCGGGGGACCTCAGAGAGGTTTTAGCTGAATCAGGAATGTGCTTAGCCCACCCTGGTTAAGGCTAAATGCACCAAAATCCCTGCAGGCAGAAGTCTCCCCTACTCTGTGGGAGATTGTTCATAAAATTTTCGAACATCTATTGGGATAAACACACATTGGAAAGGATGCTTTTGGAGGGAAGGATGGTGACAGTACATGCTACATACTTTGGGCACGTTGTTAGGTGAGCAGTCATTGGAGAAAGACCCCGTGGTGCTTGAAGAAATGGAGGGTCCGACAAGGAGGGGAAGACCCTTAACGAGATGGATTGACACAGTGAATGTAACAATGGGCTCTAGTGTGTCAGAGATGAGGAGGGTGGGGCAGGCTCAGATCTGTCATTCACAGGGTCCCTACAACAGCATGTGGGCAGGATCAGGCAAGGCTTCAGTCTGTTGTACACAAAGTCATGATCAACTCCCCTCAAGGGCGTAAAATAGCCCATGGGAGATGCCACCACCCTTCTCAGCATGGAGACATTCAAGGCTCCGGTGAGCTTCCAGCCAGAGAGACCAAGAGGAAAGGCCTGGAGGTTGACTTCTGCAAACCAGTCCTTGAAAACCCTCTGGATCCACAAGCTGCCACGGTTATGGCACATTGTCCACGGGGTGACTGTGATTCAGGGGTCCAGTCGACAAAAAGGGTCCTCCCAACCATCTGCTCTGGGCAGGCCAGGGCCAGGCTGGCTGCAGGTCACTGTAGTTCCTCAGTAGTGGACTGGAAGGCCATTTCCATCTCTCCCACCCAAGACAGTCCAAGCAGCGGAAAGCCATGGCGATGCTGATTAAGTGGATGTGGCCAAGTGGCCACCACCTCTGGGGCATTTGCAAGAGCTGTTTCTCCAGCTCCTTCCTCTCTTGGGCCGCCAACCACCTTCAACTTACTCCCTCCTCCCACCAGGTTGACTGCTGAGAGCTGGACACTGGATAAGGATGACAGACAAAGAATTGACACCTTTGAGCTGTGATGTTGGAGAAGAGCACTGGACATCCCATACAGATGTCTGGGAGAGATATGTCAGGGAGAAGGTGCAGCCAGAGTGCTCCCTGGGGCAAGGAAAGTGAAGTTGCGTCTCACAACCTTTGGGCTTGTTGTTAGGAGGGGTTGCCCCTTGGAAAATTACATCATGCTCGGAAGGGTGGAAGGACGGTGAAGGGGCAGAAGACCTTCAGTCAGGTGGATTGATACAGTGACTGCAGCAAAGGGCTCCAGTGTCAGAGACTATGAGGTTGGTGCAGGTAGGACAGAGTTCAGACTTGTGGTTCACAGAGTTCAGACCTGTGGTTCACAGGGTCAATATGAGTCATACTCGACTCAATAGCCCCTAACAACAACAAGAATAATTTTTTTTTCCATTTTATACTGGTTTACTTACAAAGTTCGTATACATTGTTTTTCACATCAGATCTTTCCCATTTCCTTATGTCACCCCTCCCTCCACCCATCAAACTGTGTGACCCTATGATTACACCCCTTTCCATCCTCATCCCTCAGGCTCCTACCATCAACAACAATTCTCTCTTTAGGAAGCCTGGATGGCTTAGCGGTAAGGAGTTGCACTGCCTACTTGAAGGCACAGGTTCAAATCCACCAACTCCTTGGCAAGAGAAAGATGGACAATCTCCTTCTGCGCAATTAATTAAACTGTCCCTTAAAACCTGCTGGAGGGTCATCGGGTCAGTTTCTACTGTATGGCACATAGCAACAGTAACACCAGCTTGGGGAGGCTGTGATGTCTCCTCTGTTTAAAAGGCCTCCAAGCTTCTTGCCCGAGGCCAACAGGTAGGAAGCAGACCACATTCAAACAAGGCTGTCTAATTTGCATGCCCGGCACACAGCCTGGAGGCCAGATCACCAAGCACGAGGAAGGGTTTGCAAGAGGGAGGTGTGATTGGAGGAGTGCAGGCAGCTGGAACACTTGGGGGCGCACCCCTGGTTAGGGAGCACCTGGCCAGGGAAGAAGGACAGAGAAGGTGGCAGGTGGGGAGCCCTGGCTGTCCATTCTAGTACAGTAAGAGGGAAGATGCGTCAGCGTTTCTGGTGAGGTCAGCGCCCAGTGACGTCCCTCTCGCCACCAGAAAAAGCTTGCAACACGACTCAGTCAGTATAAATAGGCCCTGACCGCAGGGCCAGGTGGCCCCCCCTCTTCCCGGGCCACGTCAGCTGGGGCCGCGTGATTCTTGAGAGGAAGGAGAGGACTTGGGTTCCTCAGAACTGCTCCTTCCGGTTCATGGTCCAGCTGGAGGGTGTTGCTTCTTCAAATGCAAAGCCAGGATCTGGAGGGGCCCGGGAGGTACCCGCCATGGTGCATGCAGGGAGCTGGCTCCGAAGAGCCAAGGGGCTTAGAGCTGGAAGACGTGGCCCCAGTCTGCAGGAGATCAAGTCAACCCCAGTGTTCTTGGCCCAGACACAGCCTCTTCCAGAGCCTCAGTTCCCCCACTGGAACATACAGGGCGACCCAACTGAAAGGTAAAAAACCAAAACCACTCAATTAGGGGGGAAAAGAGGAAAGGAGCTGAATAGGCATTTCTCCGAAGATGAGATACCAATGGCCGACCAGCAAATGGAAAGATCTTCTTCATCATCATCATCAATCAAAAGGGAAACGCCAGTCAAAACCACAGTGAGATACCACTTCGCACCCACCAGGATGGTTGTGATTGAAGAAACAGATAACAGAGTGGGTGAGGATGTGGAAAAATCGGAACCTTTGTGCGTAGCTCAGAGGAATGTGAAATGCTGCAGCTGCTGTAACAACAATTGGGTGGTTGGGACCAACAGTCAGTGCACTCACTCGGGGGGCTAACTGAGAGGTGGGGGGGTTCAAGTCCAAGGAGAGGGCACTTGGAAGAAAGGACTGGGAATCTACTTCTGCCAAACTGACCGTGGACCCTGGAGCACAGCTCTACTCTGACCCTCATGAGTCAGTCAACAGTATTCTATTTGCATCTAACATGATGCCCTTTGCAGACTGTAAATTCTAGAATTCCAGCGAGCAGAGACCAGAATTACCCAGCAACTGAGCCCCACAAAGCACAAAGCTCATCAGGTTGGAACCGACTCATAGCTGGGCCTCCGGTGGGTTTTTTGGAGGCTGTAAATCACACAGGAGGAGATTGCCCATCTTTCTCCTCTGGAGCAACTGGTGGATTCAAACCACCAGAGAGATACCGCCTTTGGGTTCGCAGCACACAGATCCTTACAAATCAGGTCATCAGAGTTCCCTTGATTTGCACGCCTACAAGAATTAAAACCTGGAGCTTGTACACACAGGCTCCTGGTGATCCATTTCATAAGAGCAGAGTAGTAAAAAGATAAACATTCATCAGCTAATAAATGGAACAAAACACTGTATAATATTCTGATACATGCTACAACACAAGGCTTGCAATCTTGTGCTCAGTGAGGGAAGCCAGTTGCAAAAGGAGTCTGCTGCTCGGTCCTGGGCCTGCAGATTCGGTCCTCTCTCCCAGACCCAAGACGTCTGTCAAAAACATGCTCCCCCAGATCCCGAGTTAGGCTGTGAAGCACCCAGTTCGATGCCCCTCTTTGTCTTTATCGAAGCCAAAGGTCCCGGAACAGCACTGTTATGTCTACAGCTTGACTCCTTGGAGGCAAGGATTCTGGGGCTGATTCTGGGGCTTCGTCTGACATACTTTGGACATGTTGTAAGGAGAGACAGATCCTTGGAGAA